ACTGAAAGTGATCAGACAAAAGACACTTTATGTGTTTATTATGCACAGTTGAAGATCAGAAGATTGGAAAAATGTGTGTTTTATATCTGTGTGTATGTGATATCTGTGGTGGTATGTTTGTGTTTTTTATGCCTGTGTGTCTGTGAAAAGGCTTCTCCAGACTGATCCACAGAAAACACTCTGCCCGGCCTGTGTGTCTGGGGTGACAAGTGAGTCCAAGTGTATAGTGCATTCTGAGCAGGTGGTTCAATGCTGCCTTCTGCTTGAAACTTATTTTCGTGCATCTGAAGCTGGGAATGCTGTTCCAAAGCTCCACAAGGCCCGTGGGCCTTCATCTCCAAATCACAGTTCAGCATCACACAGACAGCAATGTGCACTCGAGTCTCCTAGAGATGGGATAGAAAGCCGGGGCCGCCTCCGTAGGTTCTGAGCAGAACCTGAGATTCAGCGTTTCTAACTCCCAGCGGAGGCCAGGGCTGCTGGTCCCAGGACCGCACTTTGAATAGCAAGGTCCTAGAACACACAGCACAGAGGCTGGTGAGATGGATCACTTTTTCAGACTACTTGCCATGGAGTAAGTTATTAGGAACTATCTTGTCCGCAAAACTTGGGCAAGTGTTTCTAGATACAATTTATCGAGCATCTTCTCTCTTTCTGGTTCCACAGTAGACCTTTTTACACGTCACCTCTCATTCCCTCGAAGATCAACCACTCAAACTAAGTCCTCAAGTCCTAGATGGTGGTACAGAAATAAAATAGTGAGAAGCTGGGTGATTTCCATTTCCTCTCAGAAATTACTCCATTTCTTTCTGCCACTGGCTACCTGTTTGTTTTTCTCACAGTAGGTTTCTGTTAATGGGCATCTCACATCAAACATAAAGATCAGGCATGAAAAAACCTCCTTTTGAATGCATCTCTGTGTGTTCAGTTTCTGGAGCCCCGAACACCGTCCCTATAACAGATGTGGTGACTCAAGGGAACCAAACATTGTTCCAGTGTTTTTAGACTGAGGATTTGTGTGTTTTTGGTATTTCAATTAAGAAGAGGAAAGGCAGGTAAGAACATCATTGAACACTTATTCTCTGATACTATAGGTCCCCTCTGAAAGTTAAGGGCCCCGCTTCCGAAAGTTTGGCATTTATTAACTGTGGATCTGACCGTCACACGAAAACAGTTATGAAAACTCACTAGAATGTGAGATTTTATTAAGGAAGGGTTTGGGTAGTATGGCTGTATTTACTAAGAAGTTCTTCATGCATGCTTAATTTTCATCCACATTATCAATATGCCTTTTGAAAAATGTATGGACTACTTAGTAAAGTACTAGCATTTCCGATTATATATTTTATTCAGTCTACCATGGTTTCCTTTGTTAGAAACAAGCTTGACATCATTTTCCCTTCCTCATCTCTGCTTACCCAGCAATTTACAGAGTAAAGGCCTTCTTTTCTCACTTTGCCCAGATTGTTTTATGCAAAGAATGCTATGACAGAATAAACGTTAGTCTACTCCATTGGAACTGAGTGAAGCCCCAATTCTGTGACTTCATCTTCTACCAAGACCATCACTAATATAATGCTAAGCTTAGAACCATTATGCTTGCTGCCTATAACTCCTTTTCCATGCATTTTTGTATGGCTAGCTCCTTCTGCTCAGCTATTATTCAAGTCTTGGTTGAAGAGTCCCTTCTGCAATAAGTATGTTCTAGACAGGGCCTGGGAATTGGCAGGCTGTCTTCCAGACAAGCTCCTGTATCTAGAATGGGCACTTCCCCTGCCCATGGGGAAGAGTACAGTGACTGCACTATAGCCCGAGCTTCAGCATCCAATACAGCTCTGCAATGGCAGACAGATTCTGTGTCTACGTTGTTCAACATGGTAGCCACTGCCTACACGTGGCTGTTGAGCTCTTGACTGTGGCTCATGCAGCTGAAGAACTGGAGATTTCATTTTCTTTATCTTGATTTAATTTGAATTTAAATAGTCACATGTGGCAAGGAGCTGCCATACTAGACCATGTAGCTTTAATATATTAACCTGTTTCATCCCTACACATCCCTTATCTCTAACCGAAATTATCTTACTCACGTATCTTACATTGTTCATCATTTGTCTCTTCAGGCCAGAATGTCTTTTCTGTTAACGGATGGGTAGTCAACACTCAGGGTGGGGACTGACATGTAGCAAGTCCTCAATGAAATTTTGTTAAATTGACTCTAAAATTAATAAATGCCCTTAAGAGCACTTTGCTGTTTTTAAACACTGTGCATCTAATGATATTGTTTCCCACTAAAAAATCCAGGAGTCAGACTCTGGGTACTGGTATAACATAAAATACTATCAGGTTGTTTGCTTATATAATTCATTTTATGAGACTCACTTCAACAATTTTCATTCATCCTGACTGTATATTCTTTGTGTCTGTCTCTCTTTCCATTATGTTGAGATGGACCTGGAGTCTGCCCCTCCCAGTTCCAGTACATTTGCATATTTGGCAAATGTGAATTTTGTTCCTTTATCCTCCTTGTGGCTTCTTATACTACCCAAGTTTTAGAGAAAGTGAAAGTGTTGGAGGAGGTCATCAAGAGGATGTGACTGCCATTTGACCCTGAGCTGCACTTGTACAGTCAGAGGCTTCTCACTCCCTCTCCTGTCCTTGGAATGTATGTTCTGCTCACCATTTCCACAGTGTGAGCTGTTATTTTCAAGGACATGACCTTGAGATAGTAAGATATTGTTGAGACTAACTGGATGGTAGATGTCACTGAGCTCAGTTAAGACCTCCATGTAAACTTTTAGGATTCTGATAGGTGGGCACAGAGATCTAACTGTCTTGCAGTCACCCAACACAAGCCTCATAGGTAAGTTCCCTTGCTTATTAAAACCGCCACCTACCAATCTGGAACAGTCTCCCTCTCCCCTAGATGTCTCCATGCCCTCCGTGTATGGGAGCCAGTTTGCAAACAAATAGGAAACTTAAGATTCATATCCAAGATACATGTTTTCTTTAGACATAGGGTTTTTTGTTTAAGTTAAAATCAAGCATTTGGCTATTTGAGGAGAACAAAAGACCAGATGTTCATTATTACTTGAAATTCCCCAATGTTTTGTTATAATTTTTTTTTCTTTAGCAGTATTCTCATAGTAGTTTTAAAAAGGAGCATGAAAGTATAAAAGTGAACTCTATTTAAGACTTTCTTCTCATGCAGATGTTAAATGGCTCTCCCCCTTTAATTTCTTAATGATTACGGTACACATGCATTGTTTTGTCTGCCCCAGAAATCAAAGTGTGTATGTGTGTAAATTTGCTAGTGGGAGAATTCAGTAATGTTAAAAAAAAATGAAAAATACACATCTCTACCCAAACATACCTGGTTTTATTTTTACCAAGTTCAAATTCTATCTGTATGTATATGCCACATATATATGATGTACATGTTATTTTGTGTATTTTCACACAATATTCTAAGTAGATCAACAAGGTTTAATCATTATTTTATCTAATGGCTATATTCTAGTATGTTGTTAGACATTCATTCGACTAATGCCATTTCACTGGACATTTAGTGGATGCCAGTGTTATTTCATTACTAGAATTAACACTACAGTAAATACCTCATATTTTCAAATATGTAGTGCAACCTAACTCAAATAAAACCAGGAGCAGTATCCAGATGGAACAAAACATGTGAGTTCTTCGTCGCTTTTGTTGAATTCTGCGATGCTACTTTCCAAAAGGATGGTACCAGTTTACAATACCATCACACGGGGTGCAGATTTGTAACAAAAGTGTTTCTTTTATTTTCCTAATTTGGGCTAGTTTTACAATAATGTAGATAACAGTAACAGCAGCAACAAGAGCAAGAGCTAATACTCTTGAGATATATTCTGTGACAGGCATTAAGTGCTTTAGAAACATTGTTTTTATAGTGGTTAAAATGTAATATCTGGAGGCTGATTTCATGGGGTCAAATCTAAACTCCATCATATAATCACTATTTGCTTTTATTCCCTCCTCACAAGAGTGTCATTGGATTACTGTGAGGATCAAGTGAGTTAATATAGCAGAGGGCCTAGGTAAGCACTGGATAATAATTGGTTATTATTCCTAATAATAAGCACCTTTAAGGCTGTGCTGAGATTCCCGCTGCAGAGGCCCTTTCCCAAGGATCATACTACAGGGGCCCTTTTCTGCCTGAAATACCCAACCAGCCGCACGGCCGGGGCTGCCGTGGACGCCCAGGGAGAAATGCCGCTGTCACTGCCGCGCAAGATCGGGCTGAATCTGGCTCAGCAAGCGAGAGCAGGTTACTGTGAGTCACAGGAAGTGTCATGACATAAGTCCTTGTTTCCAAGACAATAATGCTGATGTTTTTGAGCTATTATTTTCTGCACCCTTGAGCTTTGAAGGTAGTTCTCTTTGCATGGGGAGTGTTTCATGGCATTAGGAAATTCTCCCGTGGAGTATGGAGGCCTGGTGGGCGGGAATCCTGAGGTCTCTCTCATTCAGGACCCAGCACATGCCTTCCGCGCCCCAGGAAGGTTCTCTATACATAGTCCCCGACCCGAATTTCTCCCAAATATTACCATAAAAACTTTCAGTTATTTCTTAATGTACTCTGTTCATAACTGCTTAGTCAATTATTTTTATTAGCATAACATTCCTTTTAAGTATAATGATGTTGGAAAAACAGAAACAATACAAACACATTTAGCTATGACTGATTGCGAGTGGCGTTTTTTTTTCCGGAGATTTTTTGTAGATTTGATAAATTAATTGTAAATTTCCCAAGGGAGACCTAACCTGAATTGATCTTTGTCTTTTATTCTCTAATGTTTAGTTTCTATTCTAGGCCCAGTGACTATCCATTGAGACCAAAGTTTGAATATTGCCAAGGGCTCATTAAACTGCTGATATAACCTACTTTCTCCAGAGAACCTGATTTCAATTTTCATAATGAATTAATACCTCTTTCTCCTCCAATCTCTTTGCTGCAATAGCTATTTGTGGAGACCACTGATGTCAACGGCAGGACTCTTGAGGGGCCGGTCCCTCTGGAAGTCATTGTAATTGATCAGAATGACAACAGACCAATCTTTCGAGAAGGCCCCTATGTTGGCCATGTCATGGAGGGATCACCTACAGGTATGTTAAGTTGGCTTATTATTAGCATAATGGCTTGGAGAATGGCATACTCTGGTCTTTGGGGATTCTAGATGCTGTTTTATTGCTGCTCCAACTTGTTGTTGGTATGCAGCAACACTGACATATTATTTCCCTGGAAGGAAGCAAGAGCTGGAAAGATGCAACTCAGAACATGACTGGGGTGTAGCAAACTATAAAAATATCTCCCCTTGTCTCTAAAGGTGATCCTTCAAGGATGACCGACATCTGAGTCTTCCACGCATGGCTGCTGTTGGACACCCTGTAAATACCCGGCTCACCCTTGAGGGTGAGCGCCCAAGGCTGAACTTTGTGATACAGTGGAGCGGTGAAGAAAATTAAAGTCCCCATTGCAAGCTCCTCAGTTATTTCCTTTCATAACTACATTTTAATCAGAATCACTTTGTAAAAAATGGGTAGGACTTTTTTCCCCTTTCTTTAGATGTGCATGGTGAAACCTTTGTCTTCAGTCAAAGGGCCAAAGGCAAGGCATTTATTTCTCTCCCTGGAAATACTTGTACCTGCTGTTATGGACATGACTCAGTTACTACAGAGCTCCTTTTATCTTTTTCCGACAGTCAATCTTTCTGTCGGGGAAGGATTTACAATTTAGAGCTCCCCTTTCTGGCCCAGCAGATACTAATTAAAGCATTCTGTGACCAGCAGCAGAGATGAGTCCTAAGTACGATGTTTGAGAGAGTAAAAAGCAAAGAGGAAAAACTGCTATTATAAGGCTGGACTTCGATTGTAAGCTTTAAAATGCATTTGAGTGAAAAAGTGCCATATTAAGTGTATCACCGTGGCTGTGTCGAGATTATGCCAAAACACGTAAGTAAAAAGAGTCATTCAGCAGGCCAGACAGGAGATGAGAACCGCTCTGACTGGTTATTTCCGCCCCCTCCCTTGGCTGAGTTGATGAGATGTATCAATAACATGTAGATACATGAGGTGCTGGAGGGTTGTCATGGTAACCTGCCTAGACTACCAGGTGAATAATTGTATGTAACGTGCCTAAAACCTCCCTTCAACTTCAAGGAGCTGGGTCTCTGTACATTTCATTGGATACCTGGATACCCAGGGGCAGACTTGAATGCATTTGGTTAAAAGGAGAAGGATTTCCTGGGTGTGCCAGAGGGCATTTGGGGGGGCAAGTGGAGGCAGAGGAGTGAAAACAGCCCTGGAGAGGTGGAGAGTGGGCAGGCAAAGGTGGGTCAGACCACTCCAGGGCAGAACCGGTGGCACCTCTCAGTCGGCTGCTTTTGATAGATGGATGGCTTCTGGTGAGGGAGACCCTGGAATTTGGGTTTGATGTTTACAGAAATCTTAAACAAGCTGATGTTCAGAACAAGTTAGGAGAACCAATGGGGAAAGCTATAAAAGGGGCTGGAGTTTGAGCAGAGCAGAAAAATGATTCTCCGTTTCCCTCTGTGATACCCGGGCATTGTAGATGAGTGACTAGAATTCATAATGGGCTGGAAAGTGTTCTAAATGTAAATGACAATGGTGACATTGAAGGTGGTCATGAGCGTGTGCCTACCTTTGTATATTATATGCGTATACGATTAGGCGATGTTCAATTTTCCTCCCACCGTGCCCTTTCTTAAAGCTTCAGAAAGAATTTCAAATTTTAATGTTTTATATACATGTCTTATTTTCAAAGAAAATGAAATCCTATATGTATATTGAATTTCTTAAAGCATAAAGCAATTTGCTTAGGATGGATGCATCTCCAGTAAAACAGAAACCATCTCAAATTTCTGTTTATTGGAAATATCCTATAAAAATACATAAAACCTGGGATATCAGTGTGGAGTAGCTTCTTCTTGCTACATGGGGTTTGGCCAGAATCATGGTTCTCTTTTTCACCACCCCCTGGGTTTGACTATAAAGCAGGGATTGGAATAGAGTCCGTCGAATTTGGGGTTAAAATGTGGAAATGTTGTAGAAAACTTTTAGAGGGAAAACCACTGAGGTTAGCAGTCCCCCGCCTCCAGGCCATGGACTGGTCCAGGTCCCGGCCTGTTAGGCACCGAGCTGCACAGCAGGGGGTGAACTTGAATGTAATGCACTTGAATCATCTCAAAAGCATCCCCCGTGGAAAAATTGCCTTCCACGAAATTGGTCCCTGGTGCCAAAATGGTTGGAGACCACTGACTTAGATTCCTTAGTGTGCCCTGTGGGACACTCAACATGAGCACGGCGGGAATCTGGAAGGGCAACGGCACCCCTCTTCTAAACCCCCTCCCCAGCCTTAATCATTTATAACAACAAACGCAGAATCCTATGTATTGTAGACATTGTTCCGGATCCATTTTACAGAAGGGAAGGCTGACCCTGGACAGAGTTCAATAACTTTGCCCAGTTAACACATAGTAGATGGGAGGCAGTGTTCAGGGCTCAACCTGTATCACCTACCTTCAGATCATGTGCTCTTTCAACTGTCCCCGAGTCTTCATGGTGAAGACCGCAATTAAATCATGGTAGCATCTCATGAGCAGTTACTGTATTCTAAGACCTTTACATGTACTGTGTCATCTCCTCCTGTCTACCATTTCCTACCCTGAGAGGTGGAAACCACCCTCCCATCAGACGTAGAAGCAAACTGAATCTCAAAGAGGTCCAGGAACTTCCTCCAAATCACAAGCTGGTAGATGAGCTAGAATCTATGTCCATGTGTCTAGCTTCAAGACACAGGCTCTTTCCCATGTACCATGTTGAGGTCAGCCACCTTCTCTTACATTCTTCATGATGGACTCTTTGCAGACCCAGCTGAGGGAAAATCAGATGAACTGATTTACCTTCTGACAGAGAATGACCAGCTCCCTGACCAATTATGCAGGTTCACTGAGTCACTTTTAATACATGTGAGCTGTTGCGCAGTCTCTAGGGTTAAGCAGCATTAAACATGGGTCCTTGTCCTCCTTCACTTCACTCTCTTCTGAGACCACTTGACCAGGTCTGTGACCTTGACAGCCTCCCAGAGCCCCACGCTCACTTTATTAGGTGGCTGGTGTTATGTTCTGCTATCACCATTTTAAAATTCTTAACAATTGCTGAGCAGGGCGTCCTGCATTTTTATTTTGCACTGAGCCCCGTAAATGCTGTGGCTGGTCCTGTGCCTAGCACTGTGGCCTAGAGCTGCATCTGATGCACCATGCACCTTCCCAACAAGGGGAGGCCTCCGCAGGGTTACTGAGCCTTCTGGAAGCCTCAGTTGCCTTGTCTCTAGATGAAGTGGGTATATAAAAGCACCTACCCTTGAGAACTACATGCAAGGATGAAATGAGACGATGTGCTTTACCCAGTGCTTAGAACATAATAAATGTTCAAGAAATGCGAATGTATTGTTAATGCTGCAATTATTATTCTGGCAGCAGACCCCTGGGGAAGGGAAGGCAAAGGGACATTCAGCTTGTGTGAAAGAACATTCATCTCCCAGCAAACCAAGTATCATTTTCATGTTCCAGTGTACCCGGGTGCCATCAGCACCAATCTATCATGGAGGAAGGTCACCTGTATTTATCTGTCTGTGCAGACGGGAGACCATTTCCCGCTGCTCAGCACTAAACTCCAGAATAGTGTTTTGGGGAATCATTACTAGATGAAGGGAGACCAACAGACAATAATGGTCTTTGAACCTTGCACATTATAAGCTGTACCTTTGGTGGAGTCACATTGATTTATGGGACCTAAGCCCAAGCCCTGGCTGCTCCATGGGGCCAGCCAGAGTTGTGCATAAATCTCGTGTTTTCTGAATGCTCGAAGCATGCCAAGCTCTCATGATTTAGGGGACAGAGGGGTGGGGAACCCAACCTTCCTGGAGGGCACACATGCCAGGGCCCCACCGTGCTGGCTGGCATCCACTTCCCAGTCTTACCAGTGATAGTCCTCTGGGCACCTTTGAGAAGCACTCTCCATAAGGGATGGATGCAGGCTTCCTCCAGAAGCAGGCCCTGGTTGGAGCATCGAGGGCATGTGGTCTACCTGAGAGGCCAGGGTGCCCAGGTGAGGAGTGCTGTGAGACAGGGAAGTCAGCCAGCTCAAGATGCCAGCTGCCAGGGTGGGCGAATGTGGGCATGATCCTTTGATATAACCAGCGATTAGGCTTTTCAGTCCACCCATTGCCCAGTTTCCCTTCATTGGCATTTTTGGACTTTTCACGTTGTGGTTTCTTCCATTCTCAACTATCCTGGCCAGTCCTGTGGCCTTCTGGAATATTGGACATGTGACTATTTTGAGTTCTTCTGTTGGTTTGTTCGGTTGGTTGGTTGGTTTATTAAGCAGACATATTAATTTTTTTTTAAAAAAGCAATTTAGCTTTTTGCCAGCTTCTTTAAGTAAAAAGGTGCCATCACCCTCAAGTCTCACCATCCAGAGATAACCACCGTTGCCACCTTGGCAAGCAGCGCTGCGGGGCTCCCCGTGAGCGCCTTCACACTCAGGCATGTGCGTGCACAGTGCCCCGGAAATAGAGCTCGGCCTCCTCTCCTGTGACTCACTTTCTTCATTCTGTGGGGTCCAATGGACGTTTTGTAAATCAGTAAATAATACCAAGCTATATTATTGCTTTAAACAGTTAGCGTCTTCATCTACCATCCTCTAATCAGCCAATTTCTTATTGATTTAAGTTGTTCTTACTTTTCTGTACTTATAATCGATCTAAAGGGGAGAACACATCTCCTCCTACTTGTGTGACAATTTTTTTAGGATAAATACATACAAAAGGGGTTGATGGGATACAGGATATGCTTATTACACTTTAATGTATTTGAGGATGATGCTTCTCATCATTGGATTATATTTGGATCTTGCCAAAGCTCATGCATGAAGATACAATAGTCTTTTCATATCTCAACATACTGGTAGACATTTTTGTTTATTTGTTTTTCTGGATTATATCCAGTATCTCCAAGTTTTTGTGGTTATTTCACTATCTGTAGGTTGTAAACTGCCTTGTTGTAGAATCCTCCCTGGGTTTCGTG